TTCCAGGTCACTTCGACACCTTCAACTGTTGCTGTTTGAACACTTTCATTATCACTTGTTAGCAAACAATAAGCTTTCAGTGCTAAAACAAAACCATTTTTGATAGAGCTGAGAGCAAGTCATGCTATAGTTTACTCTTAGTTCGTTGCAAAATCGGTCAATGAAAGTGCTAGTAAATTATATTTGCGACGGTTAACACTGATAGGCAGTTTTTTAGAGAAAGCTGAATGTGTTGTAGGAATGGCTGATGAAAGATATCAAACTGTTGTGCGATATTAAAACAGTTACGACAGCTATATTGAAGATTTTTGTATATTATCAAGGATGAAAATCCTCGTTTTTTCTCTCACTGGTCATGCAAAAATATGAATAATTCCATCTGATGGCAATATATAAGCTCAGCATTGACATGAGCTAACAATATCACACCTAGAAACAACAACAGAAAATTTGGATTATGCAATGCGAATTTAAATGAAGTTTTAAATCGGAACATACTAACGTTTTGCATCTGCCTGATGGAATTTAGCGGAAATAATTGTGATTCGTGATACAGATGCTACTTTCTTGCATGAGCAAATACCGCGCGAAGGAGCGTGTTTATTAACAATTCGTATAGCACAATTTTGCGTTGAGTAAATTCGGAACAAATATTCAGCTCGTTCTCGTGGTGCAAACGTTGTTGGTAACACCATATAGCGACCGATTTTGAGATCACGAAGATGCAAATATACTGACCGAGCGTTTGCATAATCCGATGTAGCGATTGGATTTATCGGCTGCAACCGTAATCTTTAGATGATTTGTAACGAGTTTATTTTGATGGTCAGTTCTTTGGGAAGAATAACTCTTTAATGCTTTCATTTTAAAAAATTCATCATATGGCTGAAACAGGTCAAAAATCGCTCAGCAAGTTCATATCAACTAAAAACTTTCTCCTATGCTTGCCTCACAAGTTATTCGCCTCGCAAAATGTCATAGGGGCTCATCATATCACTGAGTTCGTATAGCTAGCAAACATGCCTGATGGATCCGATGCCTTCGATTATTTTCCACTTTCATTACATGCATTCCAATGGTCACAAATGGTTCACGTTGCTTCTCGCCTTCGTTCTTTTCCCTTTGCGTTAACGCAAACATTACGTTTCCTCCATCTTCGTCGATATCGAACAGGTACTTTAAAGTTCATTTTNGAAAGCGACCCGGGAAGAAATTTGAAAAAGTGTGACCTCTTTAAATGAGCCCACAAGCGAAAAACTAATGAGAACGCTTCAATGAACATCATAAATCTTACAGTTGGTCTTTGTTCTAAGTATGCGTTAAGCTTCCGAAAAGCGAAATTTCTGTGAGAAAGAACACTCAGAAGGAAAGATTTTTCTACCTGTGGATTAGCACAAAACGTGGCTGCGAAATTCAGGCATCCTCCAGCTCGATCGGTTGGACCGCCTCCTCGTGCTCCGTTCGACTTCCACTCACCACGAAATTTCCACTCATAATATTTATTCGCAAACGAAAAGATCGATGTATTGAAGAGCTGGCAAACACTGATATCGGTGAAGTAACGAACAAATTCGTTCCAGGGCATCCTGCAATGCACTCAACATCAATGAGTCTATGACAACAAAATTCAAAGAATGAAACGTCAACAATTAACCAATCAAATACTAACCAAAATTCACCATCTTCATCCACCGTGATACCAATTTCCTTTTTCTGTGCATCAGTAACCTGTAAAATACTTAATTGTTGCTCAGTTACGAAATCAGTGAAATTTATATCAAGACGCTACATGGTTAAACAAACCGTTGAATATTACAACCTGCTTGATGAATTGTTCGGTAACTTATTCCTACGAAATATATGCATTCAAACTTCGATTCGGCGGACTAACAGGGAGGTAGTCCAACCCCATGAAAGCGATGGTTTTTCGAACGGAGAGCTATCAGAGATGATCGTATCATTTTTCAGTGGTGGGTTATAAAACGAAAAGAATATATCAAGATGGGCATAATATCGCAAAATTAATGCATATATATGATTGAGTTATCATTAATGTCATTTGAACTAGCACAGAATGATGACGATTGTTTCACTGTGTTAGTTAAATCACAGAATGATGATTTACTGACACAATGATCTTAATTCTACCGTTATGTTTTCATTAACAGTTGGATTGCCGAAAAAAAAGAAAATTTCCATCCATTCCAAGTCAGGAAATGAACTACAGCAATTGTATCTATTGTCACGCTTCCTCTAAGCTGATTGGGGAGTTCAAAATGAAAAAATTTTGTCGATCGCATTCCGATTTCCGTCAAATCAAGTTTGAGTGTTTCTTCACTGATCGCGTTTTCTCTAACATTGCCACTGTTTGAATTCATTCCGAATGGTGATCACTATTCAGAACAATGTATCTATTTCAAAAGATCCGAAATCTGACCTGTGTCCATTCGGTTGAGCCATCTGACCATGGCCCATTCCATTCCTTTTCACCCCAAGGGTTTTGAAGCCGTATCATCATCTGACGCTCAACGCTTCCAAAGAATAAAAACGACCTGGTTTTTGCATCGAGTTCAATGTAGCGAACAGCAGTAACCGCATAGGCATGACCCTTAACGAGTCCACACGACAACGTCTCTTCGATTTCCTCTTTCTTCTTGGTCTGAAATCCCACTCACTTGTGACCTTGCTTCGAACCGAAATGGATACAAAAAGTTATTTCTGAGATGACGACCATGCACAAAATTAGCGTCGAAGGTAGCTTTTGTTTTGATGAACAATCATCGAGCATGATCGAATGACTGACGCGAATCTGAATTCCTTTAACTATGAATAGAGCATAACCTCTAATACTGCTACTAACAGGTTACTGCTTGATGTGAACTTTCTGTGCTGAAGTCATCAAAGTCATGCTGGATATAAATTACATGATCTTCAATTATTTATCAGTTATTATCAGTTAACTAACACTTCAATCAGTTATTT